ATTCCATTTTTTTCCTATAACTTCTATTTCACAAAATTTGTTTCATATTTTTTTTTAATTCTATTTTTTTCCTATAACTTCCTAGGCCATTTATACAACATTAAATTAAATTAAGTAACATGAAACAACATTAAACAATATAAAACAACATTAAATAACATTAACCAACGATCAACATGATGTCAGCTACCAACGGCTAGCTGACATCATGTTGTCGTCACTTAGCCGTTGGATTTGAATTTAAATTGTAGTTTTTAAATAATAAATTATGTTTGGCCCTATGACCCTTTGAACCTCGGTTGGAGACGGTTTTTTGTGACAGGGCTAAAACGAGCCTTCTGGCCCTTTGGCCCTCGGTTGGAGACGGAGGCAAATATGGCCATGTACTGTTCATTAAAATATTAATATCTTAGAGAATCTTGGAGGGCCAGAGGGCTAAAACGAGCCCTCTGGCCAGCCCTCGGCTAGAGATGGTCTTAGTGTAGATAACATCGTTTGTTAAAAAAATTAAAAAAAAAAAAAAAAACAAGAGCATATCAAATGTTTGCTTAATCTAATTAACTACCGAACTATATATCCATAATTTCTCTTTTTGAGCAATGCTATATGCTGAGAAAATACTTACCATTTCGAATAGAGCTTAGAAAGGTACGTGCACATATCTTGGAATCCAAATTTCTAAAACTAAATTAAAGACAATGGTCACATTAATGCACCATTGATCGAATAAGGTTCCATGAAAGGAATGAAGCAGAAAACAGAGAGGCTCAAGACAAAATCTTAAATAAACAAACCACATATATTCTAGCTGTCCAGCAGCATGTGAAGCTATCAACACTTCAGCAATCGTAATCAAAACAAGTACAATAAAAAATAACGAAAATTCAGCTCCATTTAATTGTGAATTTTAAACCATTAGATGATTTCCAAAACTATGTACAATTGGTATAGTGGATAGGGCATGCATATATACAAGTACTTTAAGCATTTGGATTGCCTCGCTGTTTCCCTCAGTGAAGGACCTATCAAGTTGGTGTTGCGCTTATGTACCTCCTTTACAAGTTGCTCAAAATTTTGGCAAAATCCTGAGTACAAAGAATAAACAGTGAAAGGAATATTGTTTCCAGTTTGGGTTTTGCGTCCTTTTGTTAATTTTGGGTAATTTCAACACATTGACGTGAGGAATTAACGACGATGAAGAAATACAAAAAGAGTGGCAGACAAAGTGGGGCCTTTAATTTCTTTATTGTTCGTAAAGTCTAATGATCAATTGGCATATATTCTTACTAAAGTTGTTTCAAACCGAGTTTTTCATAATTCTCTCGACAAATTACATATTGGTAATATCTATACGCTAATTTGGCGTAGTGTTAAAGTGAGCCCACTCCATTGGGCTTATTGACGTAAACAAATTAGGGTTTCATGTAATCTAGTAACTTTGATAGTATAGCCTACTATATATAATCATAAAGAAATTAAACCGAGTTTTTCATAACTGTCTCGACAAATTACGCATTGGTGATATCTATACGCTAACTTGGGGTAGTGTTAAAGTGAGCCCACTCCATTGGGCTTAGTTGACGTAAATAAATTAGGGTTTCATGTAATCTTATAACTTTGCTGGTATAGCCTACTATATATTCATACAGAGATTAACTTTGCCTCCAATGGGTTACTTAATACTGTGGTCTAATGATATTTCTTTTTACTTGTAAGTGAGAGGTCTTAAGTTCGATTCTCGTCAAAGGCGAATTTGAACCATATTATTGCTAGTCCATTGTGAGGCTTAGACAATATCGTTTGTTCAAAAAACTTTGCCTCCACTGTCATACAAACTTTGGCAAATTCAAGCCAAGTACTTAAGATGTGTCAGAAGAATAGGTTGCTTTGTTACCATGTTAAAATTAATTCTAGCGTTATGAAACTTTTAATATATTATCCATCTCCAAAATAGAGGTATATAAAGTGATTTAAAGAGGATTTTACAATACAATTTAAAACCTGATCAAAGTAGAATTATAATAAGAATAAAATAAAATCTCCTAAATTAGGGAAACTCACACCAACACAGCAGCCATGCCTTATTTAGTACCATGCCTCCACATTTGGAAATCTTAAATATGGTATAATGCTATTTTCTAAAAGTAAGGTAGATAAAAAGAAAGGCCTACAGATTGAGTCAGATTCTACTAATTAAAGCAGTGGTTGCTGACATTATCAGTTTCATATATGAGCAATTTTTTATGGGTTCTAAAGATGACCAAAAATAATAATCAGGATAATACATGTACAACTACATGCTTCATATATGTAACATATAGAACGCGTACAACATATATAAGAAATAGAGAGAGATGCATGTACAGATCAACAGGGTTAGGGTTCTAAGCAGCAGTTTCCAAAGTGGATTAAATACTCATTTCGTTTCTAACCATGTATATTAGAAAGGAGGCAGATTGTCTGCCTTTGTGTTATGGTGCCATTCTTATCCCCCTCCTATTTATGCGGTCACGGTTAAGTCACGTTAACATTTTATATTTCTATTGTTTTTTGTATTATTATCTCTATAAAAAAATCAATATAAAATGTTAACATGGTTTAACCATGACTGCATAAATAAAGAGGGGATGAAAATAACACCATAACAGAAGGGCAGACAAATTACCTCCTATTAGAAAAAGGAAAAGAAAAAGATTGATCAACTTCCAAAACATGACCCCGATCGATGCCTTTCGTTCTAACTTCCAGGTTCCCCTGTTTTGGCTTTTCTCCTTGTTTTTTTCTTTGTCATCATGTTGTCACTGTGACCCCAACGTGATGCTACATCAGCGATAAGTGGTGACCTAATAATATTTCCTCCTTGTAATGAACTGAAGGCAGACACTAACTTTTGTTTGATATCACATTAATATATTCATTGGTACCTTAATTTGTCGTTTCATCCCAATTCCCCCAATGCCTAAGCACTTGCATATATTGAAATACTTGATAAATAAGCACTTGCAGATATTGAAATACTTGATAAATCTCCTCAGATATATCATGAATTTTTTTTATTTTTTAAAGAATCTTCGACAGTACATATATTCAAGAGAATTATTAACACACAAATAAAAAATTACAGTTAATCAAGGACATAAATCTCGGGAGAGGATCCTCTCCGGACCCAAACCCACCGGATCCTTCTTCTTTAAAGGCCGCGTTGGCATCGTGGCTTCCCCGAAATCAGCGTCGTGCTTCCGGAGTCAGCATCCTGGGTTCCCCGGAGCTAGTTACTGACAACATCGTAATAGTTGTCGACGAAAGTGATTTTATATAAAACTGATCATGTAGAAGTTTCCTATAAACATACAAAAAATAGTGAAGAAGACCCAGGAGTGAAGGAGAAGGATTATTGAAGGAGAAGAATTGAAGAAGCAGCAGCAGTAGAAGCAAAACTGCAGAAAAGAAAGGAGGATCCCTTGGGTTTGGGTTCGGAGAGGATCATCTCCCATAAATCTCATTGTTTGAGAGATTTTTCAGTTTGATCATCAAATAGAGTGGTACACCACGTGTCACTATATAAATGGTGGGCTATGTGTTTTAAAAAGTAATAACTTAAAAAAAAAATTAATACCACTTACATAAAAACACGTGGTGTGCCATCTCCATCACAACTAAAATTTCTCGTCATAAAGAAGGAAAAAAGAAACAACTAAAAAGTGAAATAACCAAATAGAAAAAGTCTTCCAATCAGTACACAGATACTACCTTTTCTATTTGGGTTACTTATACAGTATACTACGTTACTATACTGCATCACTTTCCACTTTTGTTTCTCTGTTAACCTTGTGACGTTATCATTTTATAGTTCTGACCTCAAAGCATACAAACTTTCTACTGGTTCATATGTGAATGTCATTGGTTCTATGGATTCTTTGACGTATCTATAGTTTAAACGACGAATATATATATAGCTTCATCATTCTTCCACTACTTTCGTAGTAAATAATTGTAATAAAGCTGCTGTGGTTGGTTAGTGCATGGCATGGTGAAAGCGTATTCTACTCAAAGTCAATTCATACAAGTTCTGATAATTAACTTCAAAACTGAGTTAGCAAACTGACCATCTTCTCTCTCTCGGAACAGTGGGATACAGTGCATGTCAGACTTTACAGTGATCACACCACCATGTTTCGGGGCGCGGTGGTGAGAGAGAGAGAGAGTTTCATGGAAACTAGAATACACACTTACCCACTTGATCATCAAAAGCTGAAGGGTTTTAAACTTTTAACCTTATAGTGCGCAGAGTTGCGACTTGGGAATGACTAGTGGGTTGAAGCACTCTTGATTCCTTTAGTCTGACAAGTGGGATAAATTAACGTTTGTGGGTTTTATTAAAGGATAATACTTGCATCCCTTTGACATGAACTCATTCTTCCACTTGCAAATAATATATCTTCAACGTAAAACTTTTATAATTGGAACCGTCTAATCTCTTAATATTCATTAGAAAGTCATCATTAAAAAAATCATTCGATCATCTAGATAGTCATTCAATTGTATCAAATAAATCAACAATATAGGTACCAAGTAACATATTTGTAATAAAACGCGGATTTATTTAATATATTTAGATGACTAAACGATCATTGATTCATATGATTTTTAGTAGGAATGACTTTCAAATTAAGGATTAAGAGATTGAACGGTTCTAATTATAAGTTTCTACATTGAAGATACGTTATTTACAAGTGTCAGAATAAACTCATTCGCAAGGAGAGGTAAGCATTATCCTTTATTTAATATAAGCTCAGATCCAAGTAAAAGCCTAGTCAGCCCACGCTTTTCAAAACCCTCCTTTTTCTCTCAAAGCAAAATCTTTGTCTCTCTTCTTACAAGAGACACAAAGACGTGTAACCCATAAAATATTCTTCAGTCACACCAAACTGGCAAACTCTGCCTTATAAATTAGGGCCAATAGTGAAAGAATTCAACCCATCAAAGTTGCTTCCATTTTCTTGCCCAACCTTTTCTCTCTTCCACACCCTTCTCCCTTTCTAAAGTCTCTGAAGCTACAAAAGGAAAACCCATCTTTCTAAGGGCTTTAATTAGCTTAGTTTTTCTCAATATAGGACACTTTAACTTGTTAGGAAAGGAACACCATCTTTCTTAATTCAAACCTTTTATACAGTTTGTCCCTAAACTGAAGACATGGAGATCACCGAGTTAGCAACTGCAGGGGAAGAGAAGGTTGGAGCTTTCACGCGGTTGTGTGGATGGCTCAAGGCCTTGCTAGTGAAGTTGAGTACCAAGGTTGTCAAAGTTATAAAGAGCATTATAAAGCTAGGACAAGATGACCCAAGGAGAGTAACTCACTCTCTAAAAGTGGCTTTGGCTCTTACATTGGTGTCCATATTGTACTATTGGCAAGCCCTTTTCGATGGTATTGGTGTTGCAGGAATCTGGGCGGTGCTAACCGTGGTAGTAGTGTTTGAATTCACTGTAGGTAAGTTACGAACAAAGTGAACATACATTAAAGTTTCATTCAACTTATAATGTTCAATTAATCAAGTACTTAGTTTCTTTTTCTGTGTAGGTGCAACCCTCAGCAAAGGTTTAAATAGAGGTTTTGCAACATTCTTGGCTGGTGCTCTTGGCCTTGGAGCTAACCACATAGCTAGTCTCTTTGGAGTGAAAGGAGAACCCATTGTGCTTGGGATCTTTGTCTTCCTACTAGGTATGGGCCCCACACCTAATCCCCATTTTTTTCAAAAAATGGGGATCCCTCCCCTTAAGCTCTCTGTATATATATATATATGTTAGTACATAAAAAATAGAGTTAACGTTCTATTGCCGGATATGACATGACCAACATGGTCCCCCTTAAATTAACGGCCCCAATTCACTATCTCTGACATAATTAACATGACATTATTCTGCAAGAAGTATTCTCCTATTATAGTCTGTCTCTATGTAAAAGACTATATTGCCTATACTAATTCATGCAAGTGTTATTCTATGGTTGCAGCTACAGCATCTACATTCTCACGGTTCTTCCCACGGATCAAGGCGAGATATGACTATGGGGTGTTGATATTCATACTGACATTTAGCATGGTAACCGTCTCGGGGTATCGTGTTCAAGGGATCTTGGAGATGGCACATGAGAGACTCTTAACAATTGGAATAGGTGGAGGAACCTGCATGATCATTTCAGGTTTTGTCTGTCCAGTATGGGCTGGTGAAGATCTGCAGAAGCTGATAGCTTCCAATATAGAAAAGCTTGCAAACTACTTAGAAGGTAAACTAAATTATATATTACCTAATTCGCTCTAGCTCCTTTAGTTTTGTTCAACATGTTCAAAGAAGAATAAGCAATTTAATAAATTACAGATTTTGGGGGTGAATATTTTCCATTACCTAAGAATGGAAAGTCTGGCATGGTCTCCAAAAATAAGGAATCATTTCTTCAAGGATATAAGAGTGTCCTCAACTCAAAAAGCAGTGAAGAATCCTTGGTGAGTACTAAAGCATCTTTTTGTTCCTTAATTTCCTGCTGCCACTAAATTTTACCCTGGATGGAAACCACTAATATACTTATCTAGCCATTTTTTACGGGTACAACTTGTACTTGCCAGATATGGTGTAGTCATATTTGTGTCACATTGTATATTTGCTTAGGTAAATTTTGCAAGATGGGAGCCAGGACATGGTAGTTTTAAATTTCGCCATCCATGGAAGCAGTACTTGAAGATCGGTGCCCTTGCCAGGCAATGTGCCTACCAGATTGAAACTCTAAATGGTCACATCAACTCAGATGTACAAGTATGTATCAAACCATCATACTCTTTTAAGGGTCCATAATTTAATTAAAATATTTAACGGAAGGAAAATGACCATGTTAAATGATTTTATATAACGTGTAATTGATCTGCCTAAATAATTTAATTTTCTATATAATTAATTTTATCATCCTTGCAGGTACCACCAGAATTTTTACAGATAATTCAAGACTCATGTAGAACAATGAGTATTGAACCTGGAAAAGCCCTAAAAGCGTTAGCCATAGCAATCAAAACCATGAAAGAACCAAAAGATGCTTGTGAACATTTGGAGAACTCCAAAACTGCAGTCGAAGACCTCAAAATTGCACTCAAAGCTGCATCACTAGAAACTGCTGACATACTTGCAATTGTACCAGCTGCAACAGTTGCTTCAATACTAGTTGAGATTGTCAAAGGGGTAGAAAACATTTCTAAGTCAGTTCATGAGCTTTCTGAACTGGCACACTTCAAAAAAGCTGTGGAGCCCACTGTATCGCCAGAGAAGCCACCATTGCTGCACAGGGGAAGCGTTAATCCTGTACTTTTGGATGGTGAAGATGCCCACGTTATAATCACCGTAGGTGAAACAAACATTGGTTTCCAAGAAAATGAGGTTAATCCTCAGGCACCAAAATGCCCAAAACCAAGGGAGGAAATGTAAATATTTCTCACTCTAACATGTAATTAATCTGGGTTGAAAATACTCAACTTGCATGCTATATATATTTTGTTGAGTATAATGATCAACTCGATCATGTTCTAATTTCACAAACTGTGGGATTAGTAGGGAAAGACATGTTAGCAATATTTCCCCATTTTATACTCAAACTTTTGCAACAAGAGTCCTCCCACTATATACCTAGTAAAGGCGAAAGATGAATATTTCTCTTCCCTTAGGCTATGTATCTGGTGTTCTCCTTTGAATTGAATTGAAAATTTTAGACCTCGTTCGATAACTATTTTCTTTTTTTGATTTTTTGGTTGTGTTTGAGATCTAGGGTGGTTATATGGAGAAAAGGAGAGATGAAAGGGTAGTGAAGGGAAGGAGAAGAATATAATTCTTCCTATCTGTCAAATTCAACTTATCAGCATTCAATGATGAAAAGGTTGAAAAGTGGGGCTATTGAGAAGAAAAATTATGCAGCTTTTTTTGCTACATTTCCTAAGCTAAACTCTCTACAAATCACTGAAGATGAACCTTTTTTCTGGTGGCTTTTCCTTTGTCACTTAAGTATCAGATTGTGCAGAACCAAATTCATTTCAAAAAGCTTCTTCTTTGCCTCAATGGAAAAAGTCTACGCAAGAGGAGTATGATTCTCTTAGAGCTTAGGGTACGTGGAGTTTAGTACCTATACCTATAGATAGAGCAATTGTTGGCAGCAAGTGGGTTTTCAAGGTGAAAAAGAATCCATATGGCAGTGTTTCAAGATATAAAGTTAGGTTAGTTGCACAAGGTTTTCTCAGGAGCATGAATAAAAGGGAGTTAAAACAATTGGACATTAAGACTGCCTGGTGATTTGCAGGAAGAAGTATATATGAAATAGCCTTAAGGTTTTGTTGATCCACAACATCCCACACATGTGTGCAAATTGATAAAGTCTTTATATGAATTAAAACACGCTCCAAGGGCTTGGAACTCTAAATTCACAAGCTATCTCTTATCTATGGGATTCACTGCTTCAAGATCTGATACAAGTCTTTTCATGAAGAAAGATCAATCTGATATGGTCATTTTATTGTTGTATGTTGATGACATTATCCTTACTGGATCAAACTCTATTAAAGTGTAACAAGTGATCACTGAGCTGTCTACAATGTTTGATTTGAAAGATTTGGGAAAACTTACATGTTTCCTGGGATTGCAGATGCAATATTAGTCAAATGGAGACATCTTTGTTAACCAATCAAAGAATGTCAAAGATCTCATTCATAAAGCAGGAATGGATTCATGTAAGCCTGCTCCTACACATGTAAACCTCATAGTTCAATGTTGGTAATATAAGGGGTTCCTCGAACAAATCCAAGTTTTTATCGAAGTATAGTGGGATCAATACAGTACTTAACTTTCACAAGGCCGGACGTTGCCTTTGCTGTGAATTTTGTTTGTCAATTCATGATGAACCCAACTGATAATCACCTTGGAGCAGTCAAAAGAATAATTCGATATCTTCAAGGGACATCTTAACTTGGTATTGTCTATTCAGCTATTGCAAAACCAACACTGAGTGCATTTTCAAACTCTAATTGGGCTGCTAATCTCAATACAAGGAGATCAATGACAGGTTATATAGTATTCCTTGGTAACAATCATATTTCCTGGCAATCGAAGAAGCAAAGTTCTGTCTCAATGAGCTATATTGGAGCATAATACAAAGCTTTAGCTCAGACTGCTGCAGATGTAGCCTAGATCAGATATATTCTTAAGGATTTGGAAGTGTTTTTACCTAGTCCTCCTATGATATATTGTGATAATATGTCAACTATAGCTTTGAGTCCTAATCTAGTGTTTCATTCTCGGATTAAGCACCTTGATACTGACTATCACTTTGTAAGGGAGAGAGTACAACAAGGAGATTTGGAAGTGAAGTATGTTCCAACTGATGAACTGATGGCTGATGTATTGACAAAAGGTTTACACAGTCATGCATTTGTTAAGCATTCATTCAATCTCAAACTTGGAAACCCTAGTTGAGATTAAGGGGGGATGTTGGATAATGTTGCCACATCAGTAAGGCCAATTCAGCAAAGTTAGTTAGCCATGTCAGCAAGCCAAATCAGCAAAGTTAGTTGAAGTTGTTGTTAGTTAGAATTGGTTGGATAAGGTTGAGTCTGTTTACCTAGTTATCTTAGGCGCCAAGCTTTGTACACCTATATAACATTGTAAAAGCTAGTGTGTAATTCAGTCAAGTCAATAGAATACAATCTTGAGAGCTTTCTCTCAGTTTCTTCTTCTCTCTAAAATTGTTCTTCTGCATTCATTCCTTTTCTGCAACATTCCATTGTTGTTATCAAACGTAAAGAACCGAGATTATAGACTGCTGTTAAAGCAAAATCAAAGGGGGTTGGTTGAAAGGTAAGAATAGCACAATTGGCTGATTGGTGAGAAGGTAAGGATTAGCATGAAATTTGGTTAGGGTAAAGATTGCAAAGTCAATGTACAGAAGTGCAAAATTGAGCAATATTCTCAAGTGAAAATTACATTAGCACTCCGCAAAATTAAATTAAAATACTTAGCAAGAAAGTACAAATTAAAAGACCTCCGCAAAATTAAACAAAACAAAGAGATCAACTTCAGTTGGCTTAAGTACTTTAGCACTCACCATTTCATTATTGATATATTCTTTTCCTTACGATACCACAACCTTTTATTCAGGTATGTAGATTTTAGTTCCTCCTCTACGAACCCTCTTCCTTCTCTTTTCCATTCATTTGGAAGTCATCCTACAAAAATAATTCTTGTCGAAGAAAAACAATCGACCGATGATGAAATTGAGGTTCCACCATAAAACCAATTGGCAATATGGAGAGTAACCTAAGACCATATGAGCACATAAGCAAACCTTGTCCCTCACCAATGTGGGATAACTCTCAACACGCCCCCACACGTGGGGCGGATTTTCAAGCCTACATGTGGACAACAACTGGGTGACGTAGAGCATGTTTGGCCGTTTGGCTTCACACAAGGACAACCCGCTCTGATACCATGATGAAATCGAGGTTCCACCATAAAATCAATTGGTAATATGGAGAGTAACCCAAAACCATATGAGCACATAGCAAACCTTATCCCTCACCAATGTGGGATAACTCTCAACAACCAAATTAAAAATCAAATGATTCCGATGATCAAACTACGAAGAAAACAGCTACTATCACCTTCCAAACATTGAAACAGCATCCATGTATGGCGGAGAATCTTAGATCATATTGGGATATGGAGCCATGAGTTGTTTCCCACTCCTATACAAGTGGGTGTTGTACAGTTGTCTCCTTCCGAGAGTGGAGGGGATTAGATGATGCTATACAACCCCTCCCCCACACACCAAACCACCACCCAATCTCTATTTTGGCGTACGGAAGTATATCCTTCTCTGCATGTTTTAATTTCTTTAGGTTAACCGTACATCAGGGGTTGGATAAATCTGGATCTTATACAAGGTGTGCATACTAGGGTGTGTGTATATACAATAAGACAATACTAGGTGCCTTTTCTATAAGTACACCAAGCTTGTTCTATAATTAAGCGCTGAATGCACCAACTTGCTCTTGGTATGGTGCTATACTTTTCTAAGTTCGAATTCTAGCTCCTCATAGGAAAATCAAACATACGTTTCAAGCTAAAAAACAGTCGAGTCATAAGTCATTCAAATTCGTGTTTATTTTAAATTGAAGGAACAAAGCACTACTAATTTATCCCCTTCAACAACATTCAAGAGAATCTTCTGCCTTGTAAGTAATTAATATTATTTGCATTTGGAATTGATCACCACCACAAATCGAAGTTGATGTTGAATCAATATATATATATATATATATATATATATATATATATATAAACATGCATGTGAAACAGGTATATATGAATCATAAGTTTTTTCCATTTCAAGTGCTTCACTCACTACCAAAAGATTCCTTACAAGTACTACATATAAATCTGCCCTAACTATCTTAGTTTTATTTTCTTGTATAATGCAACTTGCTTAATTTTTAATATGAATCCAGACAATGAGTGGTACGTATTAGCCAAAAACGTAAAGTTCCACCCTTATCAAGTGCATGCCTAATTCCTCATCAGGAAAATCTTTATTAGCAACCTAAGTGTATATAATGAGTAGATATATACACCTAAACCCTAATGATGCATATATCGATTAAAATATTTATCCCGTAGTAAAATATATAAAAAGGTACATTTCTAGGGAACCGGATCCCCTCCGGACGCAAAGGAATTGAGCTCAAGAATCAAATATTCCGGGCCATTGAAATTTCATTGAACGGCTACAATTATTATAATTTTTAGAGAGTCTCATGTTTATAGTCGTTTGATCAAATTTTAATGATTTGAGTCATTTGATGAGTAGACTCAGTTCCTTTGGGTATGAAGGGATTCGGTTCTCATTTCCAGCATGTGATTGACTTCATATGTGTGGGTGTGTGTGTGTGTGTATATATATATATATATATATATATATTTATTAAGAGCAGTAGAAAGTTGAACAGTGGAGGCAGTGCTAAAGTGGCTGCAATCCCGAAGCTAAAAGGTCACATTAAGAAAGCTGATCATTCCACGCGGATCACGGTTTGTGACAGAGGAATAATCAGTTCAATGTTGGGAGGCTGCATAAGTGCGCGCACGGAGAGAGAGTTAAACAAAATTTCTTGGGTGCTCCGACCAAAATACTTCGAAACACTTAAAAAACAATCTAGAGTAAAATATGTAATCAAATGGTTCTTCTTCTTTGTCCCATGTACATATAACTTCATTAATTATTTAGTAGAATAAAAGCACTGACTGACGGACCGACCGACTGCAATCCCATAGCTCGAAGCCTCGAACCCACATCGGAGTTTGGAAACATGACATACTTCGTTAGTGTCATCAGATTAAATAAAATTCTTAGTAAAAAGGGTAGGAAATATAAAGTAATATCACTAAGACCCTTCTCGAGAAGAGAGTAAACTAATATAAAAACGAATAACGTGGTGCTGATGTGGGGAAGAGAATCCTCTCTGAATTCATTTTGCGGAATCTTAAAGATCTTTACATTTTAATCGTTCATCGTATATCGTGCGATCAGTTTTCATCAGATATTATTTATGTTTAATTTTAATAAAAAATATAAAATGATTTCTGATCGCAAGATGCACGATGAATGGTTAAGATGTGAGTATTCTTAAGATCCCCACAATTTAGATCCGGATGGGATCCAAATCCCTGATG